ACAGAAGAATTCTAGAATTCTCCCAGTTTTTTCAAAGAGATATTATAACCATTACTATTGAAGTTAATTGGAAAGAATTGAAAAGATTACCCCAAAACTACTTCTATGAGGACAGTATTAATCTAATATCCAAATCATATAAAGACACATCCAAAAAACCAAATCTACAGATGAACATAGATGCAAAATTCCTGAAAAAATACTAGAAACCAAATACAGACATATAGTAAGAGGGTTATTTACCATGATAAAAGTTGGCTTTACCCTGGAAATGAAGGGATGTTTCAACATACATAAGTAAATAAATACAATAAATAATGTAAATGGACTTAAAAACAAATCATGTGATCATCTCAATTAATGCACAGAATAATAAATAACAAAAAGCCTTTGACAAAATTCAACATGCTTTTCTGGTAAAAGTCCTAGAAATATTAGGACCAGAGGGAATATCCCTCAACGTAATAAAGGACAAACCCAGAGCTAATATTACCCTACATGTAATCAAACTTAAAGCAATTATATTAAAATCAGCAATGAGATACAGCTGTCCATTCTTGCCATTTCTTTTCAATATAGTGATCAAAGCACCAGCTAGAAAATGGGGTAGAAAAGAAAATTAAAGGGATACAAGTAGGAAAAAAAGTCAAATTATCCCTATTTTCCGATGGTATGATGGTAATGATGGTATACATAAGAGATCCCAACATCTCCACTAGAAAACCCCTAGAAATGATCAAGAAGTTCAGCAATGTGGTCCAGAACATGTCAACTTATAAAACTCTTTCTATAAATCAACAACAAATATGCCCAGAAAGAGATTTTAGACACACTACCATTTATAATATCACCAAAAACAATAAAGATTTTGGGGGAAAACAACAGCCAAGGATGTGGAATACTTCTACAACAAAATTGTCAAATCCTTGAAGAAAGAGAATGAGAAAGACACTCGAAAATTTTGGGGTCTCCCTTTTCCTTGTGATCTGTTGGCCACCAGTCTGTGAAGACAAGGGGAGGTGGTGTGTAGGGCTTTATGGCAAAGTGGCAGGATACAAGATTAACTCAAAAAAATCTGTAGCCCTACCATATACAGAAGATAAATTGCTGAGAAAGAAGTCAGAGAAACATCACCCTTTACAATTGCCACAAACAACATAAAATACCTTGGGGTAAAACTAACCAAAAATGTGAAAGACCTGTACCATAAGAATTTTGAGTCTCTAAAGAAAGAAATTAAAGAAGATACCAGAAAATGGGAAGATCTCCCATGCTCTTGGATAGGCAGGATCAACATAGTCAAAATGGTAATCTTGCCAAAAGCAATCTACAGATTCAATGCAGTCCCCATCAAAATCCCAACACAATTCTTCACAGACCTTGAAAGAAAAATTCTCAACTTTATATGGAAAAACAAAAGACCCAGG